ACGTGTGACTCCGCTGGGACTTGGGAGCTTTTAAATCGCTTACTTAAAACCGAAAGTCGAAATAAGGATGTCCGCACAAGACATTAATGGTGTGGAGTAGAGCGAGCATTTTAAATAAATTCCTATTAAGTAGGATTGAACTAAACAGAAAGAATGTTCACTCTGTTCTGCTGGTTCCTCGCTGGTGGATCATATGATTACTTTGTCATAATCTATGACAAAAATGCTATTATAAACCATATTAATAATAGATAATACACATTGCTCTTATTTTTGAAAAATACATTCATGAAAAACAAGATAACAAAAATCATAAAAAAATATAGCCATGGCTGCTATAAATGTTTGAAATGCATAGGACAGATGTTTAATGACGCAGCAACATATAATTGAAAGGCAATTAATAATCGGTCATTACGTCACTGCATTATGATATTACGGCTCCAATACGGTGCAGCACAAAGCACTTATGTGCATCCCGAGCGGAGAATGATGTGCTTGAAGCCACATGAAATTACAGCGCAGTGAGTCCGTATTGAAAAGTTCAAAGCACAAAGGAAATACATATTTATGAACAGTGTATTATACATTATCTATCTATGCAATAGTTTATTGAGCCTTTTCTTTTAAAGGTTTTAAATTTCAGTTACTGTGTGCGTGAAGAACAATTATAGTGCTCTGACTCTAGTGTTGTGATCTAACCGACAGCGTCCGACACCCGGTAGAAAGTAACACGGTTAAGTTACAGTCCAGCAAGAAAAAGTTTCTTCATTCGAAAATATAGACCTTTAGACCTTTATCTTAAAGATCCAGTATAATAGGATTAACATTCAATCATCTTGAAGATCGTTTCATCATTGACTGTAACCGAATGTGACGTGCTGTTTGAATGCTGAATGGAGAATGACTGACAGGCGCAGAGAGGGAAAAGTTTGTGTTCTTGAATTTAATGACTTAAATATTAATTTCTATATCACATAATAGCTTCAGAACACTAATAATACAGTACACAAAAACTTTATGGTACTTTAGAAAGTTTTTGTGCCTTTGTGCCTAACATAGAATAGTATATATGCACAATATAGAATTTGAATCAGCCTCGTCAAAGATGGCAGTGTCAGAGCCGATACCGATCCTGAGTATCTAATCGGCGCACTTCTTTTCAACAGTCAAATTGAAATTGAAATTGCTTGAAACTCAACAGATACATCACATTTATTAGCCAGTAGACATGTGCAAAGTTTCAGAAACGGGCATAGTGCAAGGACTAAATAGCGCCACCTTTTGACAAAAGTGGGGTTGTTAGTTTTATCTACAGTTACAAAAATCGCTATATACATTGTACTCCTCAAGCCGGACAACTTTCTAATACATAGTCATTAGCTCGGACCAAGAGGAAGTCAGATATTTTGGTTTGAATATGGTGAGCCTCTCTCTGAGCCTACGTCCCTGTATGGCAAGACCTTTTAACATTTAAAAGCTAAGTTTGCCTGTCCGGAATTAACATTGTAGATATCAACAACGTCTTTCTGTCTATTCGTAATTACATTTTGGATAGTTTGTATTATAATTTAAGATATCTGTAACATAATTGTGACTAGTCGAAATGACAGAGTATGGTAAGCCGTTTTAACATTTAATCATAAAAGGGCCAAAGCCTTCGGCACCGCCACCCGGGTGCATTTAGGTAACTAAAGGAACCGGGGTTGCGGTGCCACCGGCTTGGGCCCGCCATCGCTGCTCGCAGCTATATATATATATTTTTTTTTTTCTTTTTTCTGCAAAGTAAGCGCCATTTTCGGGGCCGCAACATGCTCAAAAACTCACCAAATTTGGCACGCATGTCAGGACTGGTGAAAAATTTCGTATTTTGTGGGTTTCACGGATGGGCGTGGCAAAACGGCACGCTAGCGCCACCTAGAAAATTGGAAAAAATTAGCCCCTCGTCCATGTTCAACCTATATGCACGAAATTTGGTGGGGACGTGTATCATATCAAGATGCACAAAAAAGCCTCAAGAACCCAAACCCCTAAACTCGACAGGAAGTCCGCCATTTTGAATTTGGCGGCCATTTTTGGACGATTTACACACTCCGTACTTTAACGAACTCCTCCTAGGGATTTAGTCGGATCGACTTCAAATTTCTGCTGTGCCTTCTAAAGGCATTGACGATGTAAAGTTGTGCTATCTGCGCGTTTTCGTCGATGGGCGTGTCCGTGGCGTCGAAGATTCGCCATGAAACAGGAAGTTGTAGTAACTTGGCTGTAAATGCCCAGATCTGCACGAAATTTTACACATTTGACAAGAGTCCCGTCCTGAACAAATCTACATGCCGACATTCACCCACAGTCATAGCGCCACCTGCTGGCAACAGGAAGTGAACTTTAACGAAGCAGCTCCCGCCGCTTGTTTGACCGATATGTACGAAATTTCTGTGGTACATCTACCATGACCAGACGCACAAAAAAGCCTCAAGAAGCCATACCCCAAACTCGACAAGAAGTCCGCCATTTTGAATTTGGCGACCGATTTGGGACGATTTACACACTCCGTACTTTAACGAACTCCTCCTAGGCATTTAGTGGGATCAACTTCAAATTTCTGCTGTACCTTCTAAAGGCATTGACGATGTAAAGTTGTGCTATCTGCGCGTTTTCGTAAATGGGTGTGACCGTGGCGTCGATGATTCGCCATGAAACAGGAAGTTGTAGTAACTTGGCTGTAAATGCTCAGATCTGCACGAAATTTTACACATTTGACAAGAGTCCCGCCCTGAACAAATCTACATGCCGATATTCACCCACAGTCATAGCGCCATCTGCTGGCAACAGGAAGTGACCTTTAATGAAGCAGCCCCCGCCGCTTGTTTGACCGACATGTACGAAATTTCTGTGGTGCATCTACCATGACCAGACGCACAAAAAAGCCTCAAGAACCCATACCCTAAACTCGACAGGAAGTCCGCCATTTTGAATTGGGCCACCCATTTGGGAAGATTTACACACTCCGTACTTTAACGAACTCCTCCTAGGGATTTAGTCGGATCAACTTCAAATTTCTGCTGTACCTTCTAAAGGCATTGACGATGTAAAGTTGTGCTATCTGCGCGTTTTCGTCGATGGGTGTGTCCGTGGCGTCGATGATTCGCCATGAAACAGGAAGTTGTAGTAACTTGGCTGTAAATGCCCAGATCCGCACGAAATTTAACACGTTTGACAAGAGTCCCGCCCTGAACAAATCTACATGCCGACATTCACCCACAGTCATAGCGCCACCTCCTGGCAACAGGAAGTGACCTTTAACGAAGCAACGTAACAAATGCACATCCGCACTGGCTGAGCTGCAGAAATTGCAACACGGCTGCCTCAGACCCCGACGTGCTACAGGTTCGAGGGCCCGCCCATCGCTGCTTGCAGCTTTAATTTTTGTTTTTTGTTTTTGTTTTAAGAGTTTATGTATGGAAGCTTGATTTCAATCTTTGAATTAAATTGAAAAAAGTAGCACAAATAAATACAATAGAATAAAGACACAAATTAAGAGACATTTTGGGGTAGTTTTTTGGGTATGTCAGAAATACTACAGAAACTGAATAAAGTAATCCAATGTAAAATAACACTGGATAGTCTTTTTAGTCCAAACTGAATTAAATAAAAAGGCTTTTAATTCTGATTGCTTACAATTAATACTATATTCTGTTGTTATGACAACAGAATTAATGACTGACACAAATGGCTGCGTTCACTTTAAGAACTAGTGCGCGCATCCATACTGTTTCAATAACTTTCTGTCACACGCGTTTAATGCTAATTTAAGACATTACCGACTGTCTTTACGAGGTTACTCACCAAGACCAGAGTTTTGACATAATGTCGCGTGTTTTAACTGTTAAAGTGATATAATCCAGGGACAAAACGTTTGTTTCTGGCGAGCTGTTTGTGAGGCAGATTTAGGCTGTACTGTGCACGCAGTGAAAGACATCTCTGAGAGTGCGCGAGCATGGGATGGTTTAACATTGCTTGTAAAACACAAAAAGACGTGAAAATGATAAACGTTAGTTACGATCATAGGTTACGATGCAATGCTGGCCCGATTGTTAAGTGAATATTCCGCCATGTCCCGACTCCTGAACGCATGTGTGTATCGACAGCTGCAGCGCTTGGCGCTTGCCTAGTGCAGAGAGACGAGAAGATGCAGCACCGCGTCCGCAAGCCCTTTATATGGAAAAAATCGATTCGTGGCCGTTGAGAATCGATTTTGAATCGAACACATTTTAAAAAACGATTAATCGAAAAATCGATTTTTTTGCCCAGCCCTACTACATACTGGCAGTTGAAATGAAGCTCCGTAATACACAATACGTTGAAACAACGTTGAAAAGCATCAGAAGCGAGTAGAACAAAAATGTCGGAGAGATTAGAACTCTTTTTCTGCTTGCGTCTGGAGTTTAGGAGAGCAGAGAGCATTGACCAGCCAACGATTTGCCATCATGGAATTTTCTGGCTGTATGTGAATGAGCTGGGTGAGGGAAAACGACCACAATATTTAATTATACATTTTAATTGTATAAACTACCCTAATAACGTTAGAAAAATCATGAAAATAAAAAAAATGACATGACAACTTGTCATTATAAAATCATTATTTACTTTTTTGTTATGTTTTACTTTCAAATATGTTTTGCTTTTAAAACTGTGCTTTAATGCGAGTATAGGCCTACACAAATATAAGTTAACACTTTGCGGAGTATGTTTTTATGTCTCCACTGTTCGATCGCACCCGCGTGTCTCTTCTAACACATACTCAGTTCGTTCGCGCCCTTGTTTCTGCGGACCAGAACTAACACTTAAATCAGACAAAGAAAAAGTGATCTGTTTTTATGCGTATGTTTGCATTAAAGGGCTAAAAGTCTGACATGTCTCCTATTTTATTGGTTATAGCCATTTTACACTGGCTAATAAAGCAGTTGTACTAGATATAAGTGGTTTATGAATGTACTCACGCCCTCGGAGATGAAGGTACTAAACCTTGGCAGCATCTGGTACAGGCCAGGGTCTGTTGCTATGCTCTGCAGTGCCTCCTGGTGGCATCATTACAGCAACATTTATACAACATGTGGAAGTAAAGACGTTTCAATGTTTGTTTTAGGTGGTGTTTTGTCAAACTTGCTTGTTTATCATTATGCAAAAAGATATTCAAAATACAGCTAAATATCACAGAGATAAACATTTTAGGGAAATAATGCAAAATACAGTTTAATGGCTGATAAATTCTCGCTTTAACCACCATTTAGAAAAAAATTATTTTGGAGTGAACACTGCACACACATACCGCTCTTTTGGCTTCACAAGATCCCACACAGGCTTCAGTGATCTCTTTATAATACAGTTGCTGTTCCACAGAGAGCTCGTGTGTGCTACGCGGCTTCATCCGCATCTTCTCCTTTCCTGAAACACCATGAGAATGATGCGATTAAGATTGGAAAATCAGTAGAATAAAATTAACTAAAACATCAGATGTACAATTGCTATCAAAATCATTCAACCCCACAGAGACTAACAATTTATAAAATGTAAGCTTTTCTAGAGATCCAGAGATTTAAAAAAATATATAAAGCACTTATGTGGCATATTAATAGTTATGATTACTATATATAATGTAATATTTTTTGTCTTTTTTATAATGCAGCTATGTCATAATTATTCAACATTGCTGTTTTTAAATCACTTAAATCAAGTATGGTAGGGTACACAAATGTGTAAAACCAAAACTAAGATTTTGGGAACCCTATTAGACCACTTTATTAGCTTTAGTTGTAACAAATGCATACATTTAGCTCATGCATGTGCTGAAGTTAATTGGCAAATATGGCAAAAGACAAAAGCTATGAGAGCTATGAAGAGCACTAAAAGTTACAAGAGACACAGTTGGTAGCATCGTTTGTACGTTTAAAATGTATGGTATCATAGCAAACCTTCCAGGACATGGAAGAAAAAAGACAATTTCATCGAGGGGAATAAGAAGCAGCTGAGGAAAAAAAAACCCAACTATTTAATTGCCAAAGACTTGCTAGATGACTTGATAAAAGGAGGGATTATTCCTTATTCCTTATTATTGTCCCTGTCCGTCTCTTTTCTATATTATGCATCTGTGGTGTGTTTTATTATATATTGTACATTAATTAACTACTATTATATTATACATCATCTACGTGCTTGTTTGTAAAAAGTTTGTGAATTAGTTTGTAAAAAGTTTGTGAATTAGGCTATTGAGAATGAGGAGTTGACGTCATTTTACAGAGCCCCTCCCCTCTCCGCCATGTTGGTAGGATTCCCACGGCAAAACAGTATTGTTTGTGTGTGTTTTTAGCTCGGTAGTAGAGGAGTTTCTTGCAATACCGCACTGTTTTACCATGCCTGGAAGTAATTGATGCGTTAAAAACTCCTCCAGTAACTCACACGATACATATGGAAAACATAGGAACAATGGAATTAAGTTTTTGGGGTTACCGAAATTGACACAGCAGGGAGAGTCTGATCTAACGAGGAGACGCCGGATTGCTAGGTTTGCTGATGCCTTTAGGCTTTAGTATACGATTTTCACTGTTTGCTGTGCCTTAATGAACATATGCAAAAGTGTTGTTTGAGTGCCTTGTTCATTACTTTTTTATTTCATTGAAATAAATGTTTGAAACAACTTGATATGGCCTAACAATATCTATTGAGAACTGAAATATATAGGCTATTTGGACAACATAAGTTTCATGGACAACATAAGTAATAATAATAAAATAATAATAATACTGTTATTAGTGCAAAAGAACAAATATATTGATGGTGCTTCTCCAAATACAGCCGTTTTGCACTTTGTGTGAGTTTGTTCTTGTAAGGTCCCTTTTCTTTCACCTTATCTTTTAGCATTGCTTTACTTTCTTTCTTTTTTTCTCATATTCTTAGATCCGTCTCTGTCCTGCCAAAATAATAACCAGGGGCGTTGCCCCTGGCAACCGATAGCGTCTCCTACCATCATGGCCGACCGGCTCAGACCCCGCCCAAATCGGCACGTGACTCCTCATTCTCAATTCAATACGGTGACAATTCACGTGACTAAAGAACGAACTCAAACCCGAAGGACTCAGGACTCAAAGGACTCAAACCCGAAGACTCAAATGAACTAATCATTCCTCTTTCCGGTGGTCTGACAGCATAAGCTTAATGGGACTGCCAGGAAGAACGAAAGACTAGGACCCGCAGAACCCGAACTCGAGAGATGAACTAATCATTTCTCTTTCCGGTATTGACAGCATAGGCTCTATGGGACTGACAGGAAGAACTCGCCCCGAACCCGAACTCGAGACTCGAGAGATGAACTAATCATTTCTTTTTCCAGTACAGATTCAGAATCCATATGTTGCGCAATGCGCATGCGCGGGTAACACAACATGAACGAATCACTCCCTGAGACAACTCGGTAGTCCTGAGTCATATTAAAGGTTCGTTCAAAATGAACGAATCGTTCATGAACGACACATCACTAGTGTACATACCATGTGTCCTACACTTGCAGTCATGTTTAAATACCAATCAAGCATCGATTAACTATGTTATCGATTTTTTTATTCATTAAAAAAAAACTGTTCATTCAAAAGCACTGTGTTACAAAGTGGCGTTGCTGTAATGAGCTCAGTCTGTCAGTGGCACAACTTGCAGCTACAATGTCAGTGAGGGACAGAAAAAGCCAAAAAAAGGTTAACTGCATAAATGTAGTCTATCTTTTTCCCCACAAAAATAGTGCATTTCATTGTTGCTTATCGGTGTAGAGCTGCCGACCATGCATAGCATAACATAGCAGAAAATTGAGTGGCCATCTCTGCAGTGGTATTATTTTGTTATTCGTTGATTTGTCCCTCAATTTGTCCATTCATTTGAGATTACATTTCTATTTAGATTCATTTTAGACGCTTATTTATCTTCCGCTTTCGTGTAGCTTAATGGCGGGGGCTTGTTTACCCGCGTTGCTATGCGCGCACAGGAGTAAAAGTCCCGGATGTCCGACCTTGACAATGCTGAACTCTCTCCCCTCAGCCACCAGGCCGTCAAGAAGATGACAACCCCCACCCCCAATGATGTCCTTGCACTAACATATCATTTACACACTTTGATGCTGCTATGACTGAACTGTCCTTACACTACAATGTCATTTCCACACATCAGAAGCTGCTTTCAATGAACTGTCTTTGCACTACTATGAAATTTGCACACTTCTGATGTTCGCTACGACCAAAACTGTCTCGCACTATCATGTCACTTGCAGACTTAAAGGGTTAGTTCACCCAAAAATGAAAATTAAGTCATTACTCACCCCCATGCTGTACCAACCCCGTAAGACCTTCGTTCTTCTTCGGAACACAAATGAAGATATTTTTGATTAAATTTGAGAGCTGTATAACTACCACATTGGCTCCTAAGGGACTGCCTCTTGACGGCCCAGAAAGTCAATGAAGAAAATGTTTAAATATCCCAAGTGACTACCGTGGCTCAACTATATGTTTATCAAGCGACGAGAATACTTTTTGTGCGAAAAAACAAACAAAAATAACGAGTTTATTCGACTATTCCTTTTCTTCCTTGTAGGCCAGAAACGAATTTTAAATGTCTATTTATTGATGTCCATACATAGTGATAGTATATGTTTAACTTTAGTCTAGGTTTAACTACATGTTTAATATACGTAAATTTAGTTTCTTTGTCTGTCTTCACCGTGGGATAGAGGGAAACGTAATTTCGATTGCTTGTATGTCTGGAGCATGTGAAAAATCGACAATAAAGCTGACTAATGACTAACTAAAAAAATGACTAATCAGCAGTATGTCTGGCACAAAAAAGGCATGGTTTATGATCAGAGACAAACACAATTATTAAGGTCAAACATAGTGGTGCGAAAATTTTGACCATGTGACCAGCGTAATGGATTCTTTGAAGTATCAGGATATTTTGTGGCCTGCACAGTCTCCAGATTCAAATTCCCTTGAAAATCTTTGGTGAGATTTGAGTGCGGGAACCAAAGAAAATCGGGGAGCTGGAAGCTTTTGAACAAATAATGTTTCTAATAGCATAATATGTGCGTCAGATGTTTATTTTAGGTTATAAAGAGTAAAGAATTCCCTACAAAATTAGATTTTGGGGGTTGAATAATTTTGTATATGGATGTTTACAGCCATATTTGATACATATTAGATTTTTTTATTTTAACTCAACCTAACATTCTCAGAATCACACATATACGTATTAATAACTTACTATTTATGGTTAACTGATGCTTTACCTGAAGGGGGGGGGGGGGGGGGTTCAATCATTTTGATTGCAACCATACCATTTTAACTCAACTAATTTCTGACCTTTGACTTCAGCAGAGGTTGCACCCTGACCCTTGGACTGGATAGAGCCTTCCTCTTCCTGTCCAGGTTTGACAGCTTTGAGTGGCTCTGTAGACTCTGCCTTCTGCTGCTCTTTAGGGGCTGAGTAGGATAAAGAAATCACAAAATTATATCATGTATTTTTAAAGTAATAAACCAGAAATGGGACACTAGTGCAGTACTGCAAACTTGCACAGTATATACGGTCTAATGCTCAAATAGTGTGTAAGATAATACTAGTTAATAGGAATAGTATTAACTAGTTACCAGTATGTATGTATTTAAAGGGGAAATGAAACAGTCAATCAAGTTTACATGATTTGCAAGATGGATTTCCACTATAATCAAAAATTATATAAGAATCATGACAAATGTAAACATATAAAAGAAAAAAAGAAAAAACTTTATCTCTTTCGCCGCCAGGGCGCCGCCTTTGTGCAGTATTCTAACATGTGACGTCACAGGGTTGGTTGGTTTCAGTTTAACAGGCTCTGGGCAGTGAAAATCGCGACATCAAACTGTGCTTACACAAGTGTTTTGACCGCAAACGATTAATGTTAGGTACAGTCATTAGACAAAAAGACGACGTGTAATGTTATATGTTAAAGGGCACCTATTATGGAAAATTTACTTTTACATGGTGTTTGAACATAAATGTGTGTTGGCAGTGTGTGAGCAAAACCACCCTAGAACGATAAAAATCCACCCAGTGGTTTTTTTACAATCTCAATAAATCATATCCACTGTCTCAGAACGAGCTATTCTAAGATTCAGCTCTTTGTGACGTAGAAAGTGAGAAAGGGGTTTGATTGACAGTGTGGTTGTGGCATAGACCCCGCCCTCGGTGATCTGTACACACCATCCTCCATTGTTTCAACTACAGCCGGTAATATCTCTTGGAATCATAAGTGTTCTGTCGTGGGTTAATCCTGTTGTTGTGGCTTAAAAGTTCATCCTCAAGTGTGGATCGTCGTCTACTGTTTGCGATCCACCGACACATCCAGTAACAGTAAGTGTATTTTATGAATTTTGAGCAAATAACTTAGTCTGTTCAGTCGATGTCAGCTAATTCAACAACAAATGCGTCTAAAGTTGTTGTCGTTGTCGTCCTAGGATGTCTGTTTATATAATTTAAACCTTGTTTGTATAGTGTGTAACCATACGTTTAAAAAAAAAATATATATATATATATATATATATATTAGGGCTGGGTAATAAATATCGATTTCTCGATATTAATCGTTTCTCATTTTTACGAACCAATATCGATTCTTAAGTCTCAATAATCGATTAGTCATCCTGTTTCATTTGAATGAATGGGACATTGTATCGCGGCTGCGCGCATTCAAAAAATCGCAATAATCTTTGTCCTTTGTTACTATTGATATGAAACAAAGTCTCAATTTTCAAATTACGTCCATTTTGTTTAGAAATTCAAAAACATAAATAGAGTTTTGGCGCTGTGGCGTGAGATCGCTCTGGCGCAGCTCTAGAGAAGCAGCAGCGCTGATCTCTCTTCCGGGTTAATAATACCAGTCACAGCGCGAAATAAACATGAAGGAGCATCTGAAAGTGTGTTAAAAAATAGAGTACAACTTATTGAAATCCGTATCATATCACATTCATTTGCTCAATCAGCGTTTCAACCGTGGAAAGACGTCAGTTAAACAGCTTGTAATCAATGTCTTGTCATGTATCGTCATATTTACCTCAGAAGACCCACATCAACTCGTTAGTCAGATAGAAAAAAATAACTCCAGAGAGGAGCATTTTGCTAAATATATACACTATATTACATATGCATTATAATCTTAAAGTTCTTCAATATTTAATGCATATGTTAATAAATAAGGCAAGTTTTTATGACAGCCACCATTTAAATGTTTATATTTCATATAATCTTCTTATTATAAAAATAAATAAAAGTGTAATTTAAGTGATACATTCATTATTACCTTCATATTTGAATAAATCTGGCAAGTTTTTATGACAGCCACCATTTAAATGTTTATATTTCATATAATCTTCTTATTATAAAAATAAATAAAAGTGTAATTTAAGTGATTCATTCATTATTACCTTCCTATTAGGCTAATGAAGCCTAGTAGGCTACAACAAGTCTCCCATAGTTTACAGCATTAGTTAAGAGATTTAATTCCCTTGAGAAAAATTGCCATTTATTGTAACTGATATCCAAAATAATCGATATTGAATCGAATCGTAATCGAAATCGAATCGAATTGAAAGCTTGTGAATCGAAATCGAATCGAATTGTGAAATTTGTCTCAATACCCAGCCCTAATATATATATATATATATATATATATATATATATATATATTTAAAGCTATTGTATTAAAAACTGCATATGTTGTTGTCCTGTAAGTTAGCCATCTTCTCACATTTGCCACAGAAGCACCTGTATGACAAGCTAAACATGACGCAACAGGTCCCTCGTATAAATGTATTTCGCTTGTACATAGCAAACTTTATCACAGTATGTGTATGTAGTTTCAAAAAAGCCAGCGTTAACGCCAGCGTTAGTGTTTGTGTATGTCTGTGTGTGTGTGTGTGTGTGTGTTGCATATCCATAATTGCAAATGGGATGCGATTACAACTCTATACATAAATGTATCAAATAGGTCCAGTAGGTCCATTCTCATTTGTGTTTATTCTGCCGGAGTCTCTTCGTACTATTTATATATTCCGATTCAAACGTATGCTGAATGACATTCAAAACAGCGCGTCTCTCAGCCAGTCTGCTTAGAGTGACTGCCGATAGGTATCAAGTTACGCCCTCATCCAAAGGCAGGGCGGGGATATGCAGCTCATTTGCATTAAGGTGGTATACCTCCAAAACAGCTCATTTTTAAAGAGGCCCCAAAATGACATTTTCAAATGGTTATAATAAATTAACTGTGGGGTATTTTGAGCTGAAACTTCACAAATACATTCTGGGGACACCTGAGACCAATATTACATCTTGTAAAAAGGGGCATAATAGGTGCCCTTTAACAAACTGCACATAAAAACATTGTTCGCGATGTCTGCCATCATATTCCCGTCTCGTCAACACCATGTAAGTTTGCATGTATTTGTTAAAGGGGAAATGAAACGTCCATGTTTTTGCACTGGTAGTGCTAATAGCTACATATATTAGGGAAAAGTGTCTCTGCTCTGACATTCTTCAGGGAAAGCATTGCCGCTTCCAACCTATAGTCTATGCTTCAAACACGTCTAACTTACCTCCCGGGCACAGCATGGTAAACGTGCTCACCGGTGATGCATAATTGACCACGCAATAAATGCTCAAGATCAACCTGTGACAGCAGATGGACTCTGACACGGTGGGCATCGCAGTACAACAGCCACACTGACACCTGGTAGCGTTACAAACCCGCTCTATCTTCATCCCAAACCACCACCGGCTGTTCTACATAGCAACGTAACTTACATGGTGTTGACCAGACGGGAATATGATGGCAGACATCGTGAACAATGTTTCTATGTGCAGTTTGTTAACATATAACATTACACGTCATCTTTTTGTCTAATGACTGTACCTAACATTAATCGTTCGCGGTCAAAACACTTTTGTCGCGATTTTCACTGTCCAGAGCCTGTTAAACTGAAACCAACCAACCCCGTGAAGCCACATGTTAGAATACTGCACAATGCCGGCGAAAGAGATAAAGTTTTTTTCTTTTATATGTTTACATTTGTCATGGTTCTTATATAATTTTTGATTATAGTGGAAATCCATCTTGTAAATCATGTAAACTTGATTGACTGTTTCATTTCCCCTTTAAGTTATTATGATATTCAACAATATAATTGATCTGACTACACTCACTGACACTATATGATGGGAACTGAACTGAGCTGGACGATGACATCACTGTTTTCTGCAGAGCTGCTTTATAGCCCAATTGAATTGATTTAACAATTGATGATCTCTACAATGGAACCGAATCAACACTGAACTGACTTTTTAGAGCTGCTTTACAGGTGCATTGAAATCATTGAATCATTATTTTTCTGTTGATCACTGAACACAGCATACATTTATATTGAAATAATAGTGTGGATTTAATATAAGCTTTATCTTTTTTGCAGTACAATAATCCAAACATATTCCCTTACTCTATACTGACATAATGCAAAAGAAAGAAAGGGCAGAAAAACTCTTACCTGGAGGTGGGTTCTCTGGTATTGCAGGCTGGACACCATCAATGCTTAACCAGTGAGCTGAAAGACAGAGACAACAGGCTTTTTTCTTCTTCTTCTTTTTCTTTTTTTTTTTTTTCCTAATGTGGGAAACAACTGCTGCGTCCCAATTCGCATACTATCTGTCCTAAATAGTATTCGAAAATAGAATTAGTACGTCCCAAATCGTAGTATGTTGAAATGAGTGTTTCAAAGATAACCGGATGGTCTACTACTTTTTCCGGCCAGAATCCGAAATGTAGATCTATGCACACTCTAACGGCTGATATTGCCCACAAACCATTGCGCGTTGGACGAGGATTCGGTTAGAACTACAAACACGAGTAAAAAGTGTTAAAAAACTACAGACACGTAGTCGATACAGAGGTAGGAAATAAAATTAGATAGAATGGAGGATTTTAACTGTGACAAGATGACAGGGCAGTTTACGGTGACAGGCTGCACGGAGCACGCGACAGAGCTGTCCGTTAAAGATGATGTGATAGTATGTCCCAAAGCTTGCCTACTCTTTTGCGAGTCCCCGCGGTTGTGTAGAGAGGTTTAGATAAAGAGCTTTGAGTGATTAATTATCAGTATCTAACCTGACGAAAATGAATTTATTCAATGCTGTCCACATTATATTGCATTTGCAGCAGCATTGTGAACTTTTGTAAAGACACGTTTAGCCATTACGTTTTAAATGCATCATTATATTCAAATTGCAAACACGAGGAGAGCATGAAAGACCCACAACTGGCAGATGAACATGCTCTCCGAAACGGTAGGAAATAAAATTAGATAGAATAGAGGATTTTAACTGTGACAAGATGACAGGGCAGTTTACGGTGACAGGCTGCACGCAGCACGCGACAGAGCTGTCCATTAAAGATGACGTGATAGTATGTCCCAAAGCTTGCCTACTCTTTTGCTACACACTCAAAAGTATGTACTTTTTCCTCACAAAAAGAGTACATACTTTTAGGGCGTAGTATAAGTAAGCGAATTGGGACGCAGCAAATGTAATTCACAGACAACAAACGTAGCATGCAAATAGCATTCCTCACACAAAGCACATTGGAGACTTGACTCGCAATTGATTCAGTCTGATGTTAGCAAGCTAATGATACAATGCTCATTATAAACACTTGTAATAAACAAAAGTAAACAGCACAATAAATAATGGGCTATATAGTCTATTTTTAATTAGATATTAAGCATTTAATTTAAAATATATATATTATTTAATTCCACTCATCTACTATCTTGAAACCTTTTTTTTCTTAAAACCTTAGTTCACTTACAATGCATTCTGGGAAGGATACATTTGATGCTATCTTAGTATTTAGCAAAAACAAGGTATTCTAAAAGGCAATAAGGCCAGCAGCCATATCACCCTGTAGCCCAAGACTGGTTGCCCACTGAAGCTAAGCAGGGCTGAGCCTGGTTAGTACCTGTATGGGAGAGCTTCTGAGAAAGTGAGGTTGCTGCTGGAAGAGGTGTTAGTGACACCAGCAGGTGGTGCTCACCCTGTGGTCTGTGTGGGTCCTAATGCCCCAGTATAGTAATGGGGATACTATACTGTCAAAGAGCACCGTCGACGTAAAACCGAGGTCCTGACTCTCTGTGGTCATTAAAAATCCCAGGCATCCTGGCCAAATTTGCCCAGTGGCCTCTGTCCATCATGGCCTCCTAATCATCCCCATATATACCAATTGGCTTCATCACTGTCTCCTCTCCACCAGTAAGCTGGTGTGTGGTGAGCGTTCTGGCGCAATATGGCAGCCGTCGCATCATCCAGGTGGATGCTGCACACTGGTGGTGGTTGAGGAGATTCCCCTCTCTATGTAAAGCGCATTGAGTGCCGAGAAAAGCGCTATATAAATATAATGTATTATTATTAATAAAACGTATGCGGTTCCATTTGGGACAGTGTCTATAATGATGTATATGCCAAGTAAGCAACTCACTAGGTTTGGTATAGAGTTGCGTCTTATAGTTTCATATGAGGAATGCTTGTTAATTACCTTTGAGTGAAACATCAAGAGGAACTCGAGGGAGGGGTGTGTTGATGATGTCACTAAGATCCACTTCCTTTTCTTCATAAAAATGCAATTCTCTGCCACCTCCACTGGCAAAGCGGAATGGGATGAACTCTTGAGACTGGAATCCATATAGCGGCTAAAGGAGACAAGTACAATTAAAGAAAAACTTGCTTTACATAGGAAAAATAATTTGTAAAGGGTACTGAATGTTGTGGTTTTCTTACCTCCACGTTTTTTAGTTTAAGAGCATGGTCAATGTCACCAGTCAGAAGTTTGCGTCTCTTCCCATGGTGCATGAACTTTAGTGCATCCTGTGGGATATATCACATCAGCACTTAAACAACACCTTCAGCTTTTCTGTGTACAAAGCTCAAATGGAAATGAATGCAAATTGCTGCAAACAATTATTATAACCAGCAATCATATGATTATTTATTTATTTATTTATTGTGTGTGGGGGGGTAATTTTTGAATGGGGGGGGGGTAATCAATTAAAAAACTAATCTAATTAATTGCATACTCTGTGATTAATCAATCTAAATTAATCGCATACATAATTTTTGCAGTGAAAGTATTTTATTTATTTCAATTCAAACGAATCAATGAATAGTCAGTATTAGTGACATTTAAAGTTAAAAAAAAAACTTTTATTATTATTTTCACTGTTCAAATAATGCCCATAACAATCAACAATATGACTTATAATACAATATGGCTAATAATAATAATATGCTGAAGAAATAAATTCAAAAAATGTTTTTTTTTTTTCACTGTACAAGGCATCTCAGGCCACAGTTATAACCAAGAGGACACAGTGAATAAATGAACACTCCCCTCACTGTCAACACTCTTGTATGTGCCATGAAAAAACTAGAGACCAAAAGTTTAACATAGTGGAATATTAATTCCAGGGCTATTTTGTGCAATTGATCACAAACGTTCAATAAAAAATAGCCCCTTTTACCATATTTCACATACACACACACACACACACACACACAATAAATAAATAAATAAATAAATAAACAATTTCTCATTTTTATATTTGTAGTCAGACACATCTGCCTCACTTCTACATCTTCTTCAGCCAGTCACTGTTACCACACAAGTCACTCACGCACACGTCGAATACATGCTTTCTCTCAGACACACACACTCACTCACCTGCAGATTTGCTAAGTTTGCGTCTCAGTGTTTGCTCTGAGCATTTTCTTTGTCTTGTCACCAAACTCTCTCTGAGCATCACTTAGACATATTCCAGTGTTTCCTAACCCTGAACACAACAGCACTGCACGTCTAGTCTACAAGTCTCCCTCCTGCTTTGTCTTAGGCCCCGTCCACACTACTGCATTTTCATTTGAAAACGGAGACCTTTTGCTACGTTTGCACCTCCCGTCCATACTAAAACTAGGCCTAAAACGGAGAAGTTTAGAAACGCTGCAGCTCCGTTTTGCGTTTTGCTTCTCCGGAGGGCATTTTATGCCTGGTTCAGATTACACGATTTTAGCCCGATTTTGGCACGATCCATTTGACGTAGGGTGTCGTGGGGATTTGTAAACGACAACGGGCGTCGGGATGCAAGATTCGATCATATCATCTCGAGACCAATCTGGGGGGTGTGGCCTGATTCAAATGCTGATGCTGTAGCGGCACGTCAATGCTTCGACGTCAAAATTACGTTGATGTCATATTTTTGCGTCAACACTTTACTTTTGCCGCACGCATCTTCGTGCTCGTGTGGACGCGTCGAGTTTAAACAAGGCTTTACTCCGTGTCAGCGCACGCGCTCTGATCGGTAAAGGTGCACAGACCTCACCCGGATCATCTCCAGCAGTAGCAGCCTTCGATCGCACCACTAACTCCGCCTCCATTTCTCTCCTCCACTGATGTTAGTATAGACATTTAAACATTCTCTATGATAAAAAATGTTTGTAAAAATATTTTAATAACACGGTTTGGTTGTATTCATTCTTTCTCGGTTGGAGTTATAATGATGGTGTTCAAATACTTAAATACTTTTACAGACTAATGTTAGCCAGCTTATAGTATCATGATTCAGTACACTAGTATTTATTTGAAATACATTGTTTTTTTATTAATTGAGCAGCAGAAAAATATTCTTTATATTAGTCATCCAATAAGTCGTCAGATTAATCGACTAATCGATAAAATAATCGCCCAACTAATCGATTAGTTAATAATCGTTTATCCCAGCCCTACTCGCAACCAACATTTAGTCCAACATTTGTGTGGTGTCATTATGATAATTTTACTGCTCGCGATCCCATCAGAGCCCACGCGATCCCAAATCGCAAATATCAAACATATTTATGATTCTTGATCGGACTGCCTCTGACATGATACCCGCGATAGCCAATAAGAGTTATCAAGCTTCACCAACTGGATGTTGCGTGCTTCCAGATCTGAAACTTGGCAGCCACAAACATGACACGAAAGTGGAGCATTGAGAAAGAATATCACCCATATTGTTCTATTCTCCTTTGTTTTTCATCCTGTAAAAACACACTCCAGGAGAACCAGCTGACGACGTAGATTGTCCTCCATTTTTTTTCCTCAAGTCACGTTAAATCTTGTCTCACTGAGAAAATGTTACTACAATCGACAGGTGTGTGTGGTCTTGCGGACCGAACAAATCTTGTAGTATGTGCATTCAGAAGATTATAATGCTAAAAATTTGTTGAAACTGTGGTCTCCCATAGTTTTACAATCACTTAAGATTTGAAAATAGTCTAGTGTCGATAAAAAAAATCGATTTTTCGTTCATTTTTTGATGTTTTATTGAACATAATATTGACGCAAAGCGAAAGACAGAACTCTGAAGCGCGGAAGTGCAGTGGCCGGACCGTCTGTGGGGTGCACATAACAGAGACACGATGGGTGAGCACAAAATCCAAACACCCTCCTTGTTAGGTTAAAAGCTGACATGTGGAAATATTTTAGCTTCTGAAGTTGAAGGGGGAAAGGAGCTGGACAAGAGCCACCCTAATTGTAAGCTTTGTAGAATAAAACTGACGACAGAAACACAACAAAAATGAGAAGCCATATGACACGTTTCCAGCCAGAGGAGGAAAAACACTGCTGTACCGTTCATTATATTATTAATTTACAACAAGTATGCTGCTAGTTCAGGCACACATTTATTTTCCTGTTCTTTCTTTGCAATGTTAATAAAATATATTGTATGTTAATTTTCATGGGTCATTACTTTGTACTTTTAAAGCAAAGTATTTATAGTCAATACACACACACACACACACAAGATTCAGATAATCGATTTGTAACATTATAAATGTCTTCACTGTAACTTTTGATCAATTTAATTTATCCTTGATGAATATAAGTATTGATTTATTTTTTCTTTACCCAAAAATAAAAATAAAATACCGACTCGAAACTTTTGAACGGTATTGTTTAATGTTCTAAAAGCTTTCTATTTCAGATAAATGCTGTTCTTTTGAATTTCTGGGTGACTCTCTGAATTGGGTGCCCTTCAAGTCCCCCAAACTTGCTTCAAAGATATTCAATTGAAGGAAAGCACAAAATGCATTTTAATGCTGTCAATTAATAGAACCAGGTGCCTTTGCATTATAATGCAACACAATTGCTAAAAAAAAATAATTTAAAGATAATGGGTTGCCTAAGTAGTAGACAACAAGCATGTTTGCATGTCCTCACTATCATTACATTTTCATTGAATATCAAACAAATAAAAAGTGCAATTAATACCAAAATGTTGCTGCTAATATAATCATATGTTGGTCTAGTGTATTTTCGTTTACTGTTGTGAAATGGAAAATCAATAATCGCTAATCGAGAATCATTAATAATCGAAAATCGACTGTAATCGAATCAGACTTCAATAATCGTAATCGAATCGGGAAATCAGACAGATTAACCACCCCCACTAGTGGTCTACTGATATATCGGCCAATATTTGGCAATTTTAAAATATCGGCCTCGGCCAATTAGTTTATCTGATTGACCGATGTGTTGGAAGCGGGACTTTTATTTTGATGGGCGCCGGCGCTGAGGACACAAGCGCCTGAGAAGATGATTAGAATTGGATCAGTTATCAAAAATGGTATTGGTGCATCTGCAATTCCAAGTTGTTGTTTTCTTTATTCTCTGAAATCGCTTATTTTGGTTTTCTGTTGCATTGCATATTTTGCAATTTTTACATTAAATGTGCAAAGGTTGTCTCATTTTTTACATCACAAAAATGTTATGTATTATAATACCCTGATAATTTTATTGGACCAAAAAGAGGGAAAATATAGGCCAACATGTCATACATAAACATTTTAAATTTTCATGTCAGTGTACTGTGCACAATGTTTGTTCTTAAAACCTTAATGAAGATCATACTTTCTACATGTTTATTTATGTATAAGCTAGGGATGTCAAGTTTAAATTAAAGATCAATTAAAGTCCCTGTAAAGTCAAAATTAAGTATGTGTTCTGAGTATGTCACACCACAGAAAAATGTGTTATTAGCCACCCAGCCAAATTTGAATGATAAAAAAGCCTTGATAAAAAATCTTGAAAAAATTAGCAGTTATCTCTGTTCTCAAACGCTGGGGGCGTGTCCACTGGCTGTGCTGAAACCACGCCCACTAGCGGAAGCTGTCGACGGTGATATTAGGTGAAACTGCTTTTGTGACGGGAGGATGAACACTGAGACGGAAGATAGTCGTTTCGGCCCCGTTCACCAGTAACAGTGGATTATCAGTGAATCCCAGTTGTCTCTGAGGAAAATTTATAAAAATATCCAGTGTAAAATGATCACTACAGAGGCGGGTGTTGGCAGTGATCCTCAGCTCTTCATCAAGGTAGGCTCTCTAAAAACCTCTTCTTGATGTCATCGTTTTATGGGAATTTAAATAAAGTTACCGATCTGTTTTGTACATGATCGCATCCAGGTAGCCTATGCATGTCCGTGTCGAAGGCATAGCTAAGTAGCAAACTGTAGGCTCTGCTGTAGTAACTAATAGTGCTGACAGTCTCTCGCGATTGAGCGGTGAATGCGAATGTGCTTGGGGAGTGTTATGGTGTGTTAGGGGAGAGATCAGACTCTGTGCGTCATCAAATAGGGGCGTCTCCAGGAGCTCATTGGCTCCAGTGCGTCATCGAGCCCTGTTTTAGCCCCGCCCAAACAATCCGAAAAATTGCAATGGTGAAAAACTGTTTAACGGTCTAACTCCACATTTCAGTACTTCACAGTTCACAGTCTTTGTAATATGTTTTAGCAATACATATGTAACATTTATAATGTGTTTAGAACTTTTTTGTAGAATTGCCTTTACAGGGACTTTAATCGATTAATCGTTAGCATTAATGGAAAACAGCATTACAGGGTCAGCAAATTCTGCTCAAAAAGCTATGTTCCTCACCAAATTAATAAGAATGGTTTTTAATCTAAATAAAGGGTTAGTAGGATTGTAAAATGTTTTGATGTGATTGATAAATTAAATTAATTATTTAATCTATAAATATAACGACATATACAATGTGTCACCAACGCCGCCTCAGATGCGTGCTTGTCAGAATGTGTGACTGTTGTGGATGTGCTGGAACAACGCACTGAAAACGGCATTTGAGCTAAGCGCGCTAAAGATCACGTCAATTCTAAACCAAATGCATCCAATTTGAGACCAATCAGTTACAGATAGGCGTACACAAAATAAACTATTACAACTTACATTTGCACAAAACAAAAGGCTGCCAATGCACACGCAAACTTATAGTCATGATGAAGGTGTAAAATAGTCCCAAACAACTCCGGTGTGTTTCATTCCGGTGTGTCATTCAGTGGGACTCAACACTTCACCACACCATTGTGCTCGCTTCCATGTTTCACAGTTGAGCGCATGATCCTGCTTAATTGTTGATCGATAAGTTTTATCGATTAAATGTATTATCGACAATTAATCGATTGCCGATTAATCGTTGACATCCCTAGTATAAGCTTAACTGTAAGTATAAACAAAATTGTAAATTGCAATTGTAAATACCTGTGCAATCTCTTTAATCCTGTAGCTAACCTCTTCGCTGAGGGCCAGACAGCTGTCTTCCTGCAGTGAGCCCACACCCACTGACTCCGCCATCGCCTTCATAGATTCAGTAGGGAGGATCACCGAACACAGCTTCTGTCTGCGCTCCTCTGCCATGTCTCACTCTATGGCAGAAAACAAACTACAAAAATCAGATATTCAAATTTCAATGTCATCACCAAAAGTAAATAAACAGTCATAAACAGTCATCAACAACAGTAAATAAATCTCTTTCAATCCATTTCCACTGTCAACAGAATTAGATAACTTTAAGAATGGTCTGCCAAGTCGAGTCAACTTAATTTTTATAGCGCTGTTAACAATACATATTGTACTGATGATTCACTTCCATTGCAAAGATCATTAGTTATTAACTTAGGGGCCACTTAAACGACAACGTTTTATTTCAGGGTTCCCACACAACAAACAACAAACATTGGGTTATAGTCCAGTCATTTTAAGCCAAAATGGGGGTCAACCTTGAACAAATTGCAACAGAAGAACTCAACTGATTGTGTATCCTCAATGTGTCCTGAGTAAGGGAAAAAAAAGCCCTGAAGAATCCCATTAGGGGAAAGTTTAGAAGAAGACCCAAATATATCCCATTCATACGCATATTCATTCTTTTTCTCATGTGATAAGGGTAAAAATCTTAACCTTTAGATATTATCATGAAAATCACTGAGTTGATTACTTACATCAAGACAAGCAAAAAATCTATCTAAAATCTAAGTTTTTTTGCAATTGTTTGTTAACATGGACATATGATGCATAATATAATTATATGTGCTAATTTGCATAAATACCCAAACAGATCTAAACATTGGGTATATAGCAGGTGAAAATGTCTTGTAGAATTTTGTTGACATATAACAGTAAATTATTAAATATTAAGGTCTGAATGGAACCCATTTAGGCTACCGATGAAAATTAATGCATGAAGTACTTTAGAAACCAGCCTTTATTAATTATTATGGCAGAGATGGGGTTTGGGGCTGGGTCAGTGGCACTGTTTCTGGGGGATGAGTCTGAGGGAAGAACAGGAGACATGGGTAAGGAGAATGCAGAAGACAAAAAGTAGGTGAAATAAAAAGTGTCTGGATCAAAAAATCTAATTACGTACACAATGCACTCAATGCCCAAACCCCATCTCTGGTTTCTAAAGTACTTCTTCCTGTATTAATGTTCATGGGTAGCCTAAATGGGTTCCGTTCAGACCTTAACATTAAGTCTTTTACAGTTATATGTCAACAAGATTCAAAAAACATTCTCAATATTGATTTTCATGATGATATCTAAAGGTTAAATTTTTTTAACCTTTTCATGTGAAAAAAGAATGAATATGCATATGAATGGGATACATTTGGGTCTTTTTCGAAACGTTCCCCTAATGGGATTCTTCGGGGGCTTTTTTTCCTTACTCAGGACATATTGAGGATGCAAAATAAATCAGTTATCTTCTGTTGCAATTTGTTCAACCGTTTTTCATAAAATGACTGGACTATTACCAGCACAGTAGTTTTGTGTTATGTTACCTCATGCAGGAAACACATTGTAACGTGTAAATGTGCGTAACTAACGTAAAACAAGAAAGCTAGTATGCATAGGCCACAAGTAATAGCGAAACAACACATTAGCGGACCGGAGGTAATAATATGGATGCTCATTTGCAGGACAACAGCGTTTGGTGGCTTGAGAACGCAAACTCTGAAATAGGTTACAAGGTGCACGTTTTTTTTTGTTTTTTCCTCCAAGAAAACTGTACAGCATCATCATGTAAACTTCAAAAATGTGAATCTGTGAAGAGGGTGAGTGCGTGCACATGAATATCATGTGTTCAGTCTATAGATATGCACGTCTTTCTTTACAAAAATACAATGCCAAATGCCAACATAATACATAATTTGTTAGCATTTCCTCAGATCAATGCGTACTGGAATCATTTTGATTATGTTTTTTTTCTGTACAGAGGTAAAGGGAAGAGAAGGAGGCATTTTGTTTAATTTTGTCTGCAGAGGTTTTGTTTAAATAAAAAAAATAAAAAAACTTCAAATAGTCTTGAAGGTTTTTAAAAATTAATGAATGTATAGTTGCCATGGAGTTATATAGCTGCATCTTTTATCATCTATTTTATATCTATTATCACAATTTTAAAAAAAAAATTGTCAAAATACTTGTACTTATAAATAATATTTAATTTAAAAAAAGTTATTTTCTAAAGAAAAAAAATTATATAGATATTCTATTTTGTGAATGTGAATTCACATATTGTTGATATATTAAATGATATAGCCTATTTCATTGTGTATTACTTAGCCACAGGTTTATGTAATACACAATATAGGCTATAAGATGATTAGCACATTTGTTCACAAAGTTCATGTGTAGAAACTGGAATCAAAGTGCTAGCAAGTTATTCCTTAGTTGTAGTATATATCTTTTATGGCTGGTGGCAAAACAGATATTCACGGTGGAGTGTTACTGGTGGCAGATACAAAGCAAATATAACAAATAATCAAATGTAATGATTGGGAATGATACATGCATACAAAAAAAATCAATAAGAACTATTTGAAAACGTAACAAAACAGTTTTTTTTTTTTTTATCTGGAATGTTGTGTTTTTCCAGAGCGTTGTATCCTATTAAAATAAGTGTCCTACTGAGAAGACCTACCGGTCTAATATCTAGTTATTGGTTAGTTTAGTTGTTTGTTTTACAGCAATCGGAAACACTTCTTCTAATTACGTAATGCATCAACACTTCTTCCAATGTTCAACTCTCATAATGGTCTGTCAGATTTTATTGTGCTACAGAAAATATTCCCTGACGATCGGAAAAGTTTATTCATCTGAAACGAGTAAATGAGTTTTCAACCACCTTTTAAAACAAACTTAATGCGGGATTGAGTGCTCAAATACTGATATACTACGCTGTCAAAAAGTTGTTTACGTACATATTCAAGTGTCTTAAAACTCATTAGGCACACTATTTATATACAACTGAGGTTAATCATAGTCATTTCCCTGTAATAAAATTGCACAAAAAGGAAAACTGAGCTGCATGTCGTTCTTACCTTTAAAATATGACGCCGCAATGTTAAAAAAAGATTAAAACTAATTTAAAACAAGCAAATCGGTTATTGATAACTGCTCACTTTGTGTTTGTGGAGCAAATTGTTTATTTTCCCCCTGTATTTAATTTTAAATTTATACTTGGTATATCCTGTTTAGCTCCGAACCATTTTTCTGAAATTCCGCCATTTTGAATTTGCTGGAAGGTCCTGCGCGTGCGGATGAAGGATCGAAACGTAGTCCCATATACACGTATTTACAAAAAAAGCACATTTTAGCATCATATCATTTAATAAACTTCATAAAGAAGCAGACAAACGATTTATTAACAACAATAGATAATAGTTAATACAAAAAACAACAACGTTTATAGGTTATATTCTTATGCATCTTTCATGATATCGATGGTTCGTTCATCTGCTTGCTAGTCTGTCGAAGATTACTGACATAGAATATATACAACTAGATACCTTACCAGCGGCCACTAATATACGTCTATGCTAATACATAAGCCGTCGCCATATTGGAGCGGTCCGTGAACATTTGAAGTAACCTTGGTTAGACCAGAGAATGTCTAATTAGACGCATGTATAGCATATCTAGATATGAAATATAAGTCAGCAGATGATGTTGCTAAACTAACAGTACAACAAGACAAAGGCGTCAGCTGACATGGCTAAGTTACCATAGGAAAAGTAAAAACATTACAGTTAGCCTACATAAGTAAAAACATGTCATATTGATTTAATACAAATAAAAACAAATAAAACACATTCCCACTTGTGTAAGGTTATACCATTTCTTCGGGAATTCTCATAGATTCCTCATTCGGGAGCGGTCGAATGAGGTTTCTGCGTATTCATACCTATGATTAACGCTATCAACGTCTAACGTTACTCATGCCTACAATCAACAGCCATTTCCCCCAAGTGTAATATCTGATTTTATATTTTTTTATATTATTTATTTATATTAATTACAATTATGTATATTAATATTCACTTGTTGAAATATTTGTTCATGCAAAATTAAAGCAAAGTATGTGAAAAGATGTTTCTAAAACATATCGTTATAGTTGTATAGTGTTTCTAAATTATTACTGGTCAAAATCACATATGTAAACAGAACAACAGAGGTAAAATCAACAAAATATACACACTACATAATTTAGGAGGGGGTGGAGGTTAGGGGATAAAAAAATGTGGAACAGGACAGGAGGATATAAATTTTTTAAAGTGAATTTTCTCTAGACTTTTTTTTTTTTTTTTTTTTTTTTTTTTTTGCAGAAGTGGGAGGGGTATTCGCGTCACTTTAATTATTGCCCGACTTTCAGCAGTGCAACGCCTAATTAACCCATGATTATGGAACTCATACAAAAATTAGTTAATTGCCCATTTAAAGAAGCGGAAGTGGTCCGGGTGGTTGGTGATGCGGGGTTAGCTTGCAGATTTTGCTCTCTAAATTAATTGAGGACGATGACGGAAAGTTTCATCTTGCATCTCTTGATCCTGACTTTGACAGCAGAGTTTGATGTAAAGGCCTCTCAACTGAGCTCTAACCCTCCGATACCTTATACATCGGGTCGGTCGCAAACGAGGGAAACCTTACCAACCAAGCACCTCTCGAATCAAGCAAAAGATTCGCCCAGCAGACAGATCACACGTGTCAAAACAGTAGCTGTGATTTGCCACGAGAATTACATGGAGATAGCGGTTAAGGTTGACCTCTTTGATGTTGATTTACCTGTGGATGCTTCAGAGCTGCGGCTAGGTGCCGACAGTCAGTTCACTCCTTCGTGTAAAGTGACCGCGTTCTTCAATAACGAGTACATCATAGCAGCTGAGCTCACTGACTGTGGCACTCAACACTGGGTATGAGCAATTTCAAGTTTTTTTTTTTTGTTTTTTTTTTGTTCTAGATATTCATTTTGGGTCAGAATCTGTTAAAGGGCGTTTTATCTTATTCCATAATAGGTTATATAGGTTATTCCAGAAAGCAGTTATGTGAAATACCCGGACAGGCTGGGTAGGCCTAGAGTCCGAATTTTTTTAAAGGCATTTCGTATATCATATGTTCTTTTAAAAAAAAAATCGTTTAACAACAGAATTCCTGGTGGAAAACTACATGATGCTGTACCGAAAATTACACCGATTACAAAAGTCGAAAGCTTAAAGAAGAAACGCGATGTTAAGCCTGTGTCCGAAACCGCTCACTTGTTCACTAATCCCTAGATATGAATGCCATTTGAGTGCAGTGCACTAAAGTTATATCTGCAAGGAGTGAACAAAATAAAGTGAATGAATTCGGACGCTGACGTTTACACTGTCGGAGAAATGGAGCAGCTTTGTTCAATATAAAATTAAAATAATAGAACTACTTTAATTGTAAATGTTTCTTTATAAAATATTATTAATAACAATCATAGTGACTTTATTTTGTAACTATATATGCCTCCGTGCCAGATTTGTAGTTTCATCGATTGTATAATTGGTTTATGCTTGCGCAGATAGCACAAGGGTATTTGATGTCCTATTTACATCTGGAAGATGTATTTTTAAGAGTGTTTGCTCATCTGCAAGACGTCTATAGGACGTTTCCTGTCAGATGTCAAATAGACGTTTATAAGATGTCAGTTTAACATGCATTCTAAATCATTACATCTTAGAGACATCTTCTAAACGTCTTTTTGACATCTGCAGGAAACGTCCTATAGACGTCTTGCAGATGAGCAAACACTCTTTAAAATACGTCTTCCAGATGTAAATAGAAGATCAAACAGCCTTGTACTATCTGGGTAGTGTGTATGGCCCAAGCGTGCCGCACAAGCCCTCAAAAGTGAAGCCAAAACGTCTCGATCGCCCCCCTGTGACCGGACCTAGTATAGCTCATAACCCCCGCCTCCCCATGTTATTCAATGGGACGCGAGACCAACTGAACAATTAATTTACACTTCACATATCCTTTTTCCAAAGATAGTTTTTCATTTACTGTAGTTTCTATCACGTTGATGTAATTTCAAGTGTTCGTTTTTAAAATAAGTTTGTTTTTAGTTAGTTATGTGATGATAAAATAACGGCGCTCTGACATCATGATTGACAGCTGTGATTGACAGGTTCTCTGTGCGAGGTAGTCACTGAAGCACCAGCGGACTTTTTTTTAATAATGTTGATTATGTGGTTAGTAGTTGTATTTACCTTATTTTAACGAGGTTCTGCAATCAGTGGACATTATTGGAGAAGAACGAAGCAGACAGATGACACTTGTGTGCGGGACATGAGCTTGCGTTTGATTCAGCTAGAATGAGGGCGCGGCCTTGATTTCGCGGCTTTACTTCCTGCTCACGACTGCGCATGACTGGTCCCGAAACACGCAAGTGCGCAGACTCAAGTTCAAGATGTCAGCGTCATATCGAGACACTGGCGGCTTCAGTTTTCTCTGATGGAAAAGAGCGAAGGGGCGTTGTCCATCTTTTTTTACTGTCTATGGTATGGCCCATTCGGACGCTGACGTTTACACTGTCGGAAAAATGGAGCTGTCGCAGAAACGGCTTTGTTCAATATAAAATTAAAATAATAAAACTACTTTCATTGTAAATGTTTCTTTCTAAAATATTAATAACAATCATAGTGACTTTATTTTGTAACTATATGCCTCCGTGTCAGATTTGTAGTTTCATCGATTGTATAATTAGGTATGGCCCTGTCCCAAAGGCTGCCGAAAACGGCTGCCGCGTTTGCATGCCGTTAAATCAATGGCTGTGTCCGAAATCTCCACTCAAACCACTACTATAGGGGGTAGGGAGTAGAGCACTATATAGTGAGCTCACCAGCATAATAGAAACACCACTTTCGGACACTACTCGATCGTCTCTCGGCGCCGTTGATTACGTCATTGCTGTCGCCCGTCAGTCTTTTTTACGATCAGTGCAATGCATGATGGTATGTAGGGCTTGGGTTAGCGGCCATCGGTTGTACACTACTTTTCTAAATGCATTCTGGGATACATTGAGTGGACTATATAGGGTATAATAATCATCACTTCATTTGGACGGCACTACAAAATGGCGAGCTCACTATATAGTGAGTAGTGGGAGATTTCGGACACCGCCAATGAGATCTAGCGTGTCCCATTTGTCATTTTAGGTCTCAAAGGGGTGCTCTCGAGCGCCCCCTTTGCGGTCTGTGTGTCCACGATACTACGCACATTTGCCGAGCCCGCACGGATGCGAGCTTTGGGACAGGGCCTATTTTTTGAAACATGACTGTAAAAAAAGAAAAGTTTAGAAACACTCACGCACATGACCTGGTCGTTGAGCGCCCTCAAGCTGCCTTTCCACTGCACACAACATTCGCATACGATGCCCCTAGTGTCAGTCGCACGGAACTTTGCAATTGGTCGTGCAGCAACCGTTGCACTCGGCTATTCACATGTTAAAATGAATGATTTTAATGAATGTAATGCATACATGAATATATCCACACAAAACAAATTACTAAAATTGATCTAAAATAAAAACACAGATTTTATAAAGCTAATCAATATAAATATTGATCTAATAATTATAAAATATTATTTTCTGCCATAATTATTAATAACCGAATTATAACATAACATATAATTAATAATTTTATTAATGGTTAATACAAATTATTGATATTTTTTACAGAAATAGTAGTGTTTACAGAATAATATTAAAGAGTTAAAATATTGGTGATTCTAGCTCAGACTTCTCCGCATTGGATTTTGGGAAATACGAAATGGTAGGCTACTTCAACAAGTGTACGCTCTAATTCAGAGAGGATTGTGTTCTCAAAATACTTATGCGTAAAAAAAAAAAGATTTTTGCGTAAAATGTTTGTAGCCTATAGGTCTTTCATCAGGCCAGGTGCAAAATTAGTAGGTACAACTGTTTACAGACAACAGGTCATCACCACCATCTTGATGGTCTTTGGGGACTTTTTAACCTGCAAATGACTTTTGCTGAAGTTCCCTCCCCAAAAAAAAAAAATCTATCCAAATGGCTCTCAACCCTTTCTAGATCAACCCTTTCAAAAAACAAGGAACTCCCGCACTTGCAAATGGGTATCAATTTTATTTGCAACGTTTCGGTCTCATGACTTTCATCATGCCTGATAAAATGTCTCAATATTCTGATGCATATTTCGTGATTTAAAGGGGCGCATGCAAGCCATACTGAATGTCTGAGTGCAATACTTCAGAATCTGATCACCTTATTTTATTGCAGAACTGCAAGAATAAAATACAAAAAATATCGCATTAAAGAGCGTTAGAATTAGAAACATTTTAAAATATAAATTCAATTAAAGGTTGGGGAAAACGTATTGTATTAAGCAATGTTCACATTTTTTCATGCTCTTTACGATGCTATCAAATTGTAGTTTGAAGGAATATTTCCAGCCCATAGACAATTAGCAAAATGAACTGCTTTGGTCATCGTAAACTTCTCATCCGTGTTTGAGTGATATATATATATATATATATATATATATATATATATATATATAAAAAGATGATGTTGTTGTAAAACCTTTATTTTATAAGTTAACTGTTTATATAAAATAATAAAAATAAAAAAAACTATTTAAAAAAAAAGTAATATTTATTTCCCCCATTAGTCTGTTATAATTCATAAATTAAAAAGTAAACATTTAGAAATTGACAAGAATGCAGTCTAATTAAAAAAATTTAGTGTCTTTTTTTTTAATAAAGATAATACGGAACTGGTAATATTATTAAATAAAGCGAAATTTATTCATCCAAATGCAGTGCGTTGTATTCGTGTTTTCTCTATGTATTAAATATAATCAGCCGGCAGGTCCGATGCATAATACAATGCTTTTTTTTTTTTTTTTTTTTTTTTTTGGCTACATGCTATGGGATTAATCAATGCATGCTGATGAATAGTGGTTTTAAACGACCCCGGGATAAAATAGTGCGAATCGTAGTGATTCAGGATAAGTGAAAAACACGGTTTGGAAAATGGATTCATAATTTAGTCATATACACCAAGGATTACTTGAGGGTTCTTGTTGAACATAAGTTATGGACTGCAGCAGCTGATACAACGGCGTTCTGGTGGGCGAGCGTCCACTCGCACATGCGACCACATAAAATTTTAACTCGCACATTCACAAAAAATGGTCTCAGTCTGGAACCCTGATTACAATAGTGTAAAAAGACAGGAATTTATACCACGTAATCATTCGGTCCATTGTGGCGCGCACCGATATTAAAAAAATGACTGTACATGGCAGACTGTAAACATAAGTCAACTTCAAGTTTTACAGTTCTCAGCTAAATAACAAGTTTTCAAATTCCCAGCGAAATAACAATACTAGTCTTTAAGAACGTCTTGATCGACTGGGATACAACCACTCTCCTGGCCTCGTCTTTTCTGGTATCTGATTTATGTTCTCTTTTCCCCGACATTTTCAGTCAGCCAGTCTCCTGCTCTTCTACCAAGTTCATCGTTAACTGCCGCTTCAACTTGGATTGGTTCTGTTTCATTCTTACTGACTGCCAGAGGCAGTGTAAACACTATGGATTATCACAGCGCCAGCTAAGATAGATCGAGAGAATATACCAACAAAGTCACGTGATGTGACGTATGCTGAGCCCTGGAGGTAAAGCTACAGTAAGCTCAGCACTCTACCTCTTTCGCTTTCTCGCCTGTTTGAGATAGGTCGTATTGATTGAGTGATTCGCGCTGTCAAGTGCAGCTTACTAGAGCAGCGAGATTCGTCCTCACAAGCTGTGACAGCGCGTGTCTTCGTCATTCTAGGATTTGAATACTGGTGAGTTTATATTGCTTCGTCGGTGACACACTCCGTGCCTCTCGGTGCTATCCGGT